CCACCCTGAGGTGCCACCGCGGCCGCCCATTGACACCGGCCTTCCCGCCCGTGACGCCACGGGGAGGCCGCCATGATGTCCTCCCATGTGTGACGTCACCCCCGGGCTCTGACGAAGTGCCAGGGCCTCGGTGGGCAGTAGCCGGGCCACGGGGCGACCCCGCTCAGCTGTGACAGTGCCTGTGACATTACCATCATGTCACGTGTAATGCCATTGCTGTGCTGAGCCTCGGGGCCCTCTAGGCCCGACCTGCCCTGGCAGCCTGGCACCGCTGTGCTGAGCCTTGGGGCCCTCTAGGCCTGACCTGCCCTGGCAGCCAGGCACCACTGTGGAATACTCCCGCAGTGGAGGAGGTGTCACCATCTGCAGTATGATGTCACGGGTCTGGGTCATGGCGCACTGTCAGAACACCCTAGCTTTGCTCAAAATGTTACTTTCTGCAGCATTTCAGCAGCTGCAATTGGTAGTGAAATCTCTTTCTGTATTCAAACCTTGCACAGAGGTTTGGCAATCCTGTTGCAGCACTGAGGTACTTTCAAACTGTGCGGAAGCAGCAGTTTTAAAAAGGTGCTGTTTAGCACAGCCTTTTGTCATAATTTTGTCATCTTGTAGAGGACTGCCTTGGATGATCCATTTTTAATGCCATAATGATATATTTGCTGTAACACATCTAAAAATAGCAGTTGTGTAACGATCTAATCATGGAAAAATAGGCCTGAAGGGAACCTGAGGTCATGTCCATCAGTTAATCTGAAGGCAGCATCAATGTGTCTTCATTTGCTGCAGATAAATGTCAAGTTTGTTCTTCAAAACCTCCAGGGAGGTTCCTCAGCCTGTGAGGTCTGTGTCAGTGCTGCATTAGCTTTTCTTCAAATTACTTTTTCCTGAATCACTGGTGTAATTTAAGCTTGTGGGTTTGTTTTTTTTTTTTCCTATCTGCCATGAACACAGAAATCAGAGTATCCCTTTGTAGCAACCTCTTCCATATTTTAAGACTGTTATCTGCCTCTTCTGTCTTATCTTCTCCAGACTCAACAACGTTATTTCTTGAGATTTGTCATAGATCATTTTTTCTAAACCTCTGATCATGCTTACTGCTCTCCTTTGGGCTCTTCCAGCTGGTTCACATCTTTTTTGAAGTGCAGTGATCAAAAACTGGAAGCAGTACTGCTGCTGAGGCCTTTCTGGGGCTGAATAGAATGGAAAGCTTCTCACCAGCTCCACTGTTTGACCAGAATTTTTCACAGCATGTGACATTCTTTGTCTTGTGTTCTTCTTGTGATGTACTGAAGTTCTGCAGAATTGATACCTCATCGGTTAGCACATTGTTCAGGTTTTTGTGCATAAAAAACAATCTCCCTTGAATCAATCTTTCAGGTCATACTGTTATACTGGAATTCATGAGCCTGTGGTGAAAACTAAAGCTACTGCGTTTTGTGTTTGTTGAGAGGAGTATCTTAGGCTACAGACATTTACATCTTACACTGAGAGCTACTTACATTTGGGAAAAGGGCCCTCTATGTTTTTGAAAGCCGCAGCTAGTTCACTGCCAACTTTTTTGTTCTTTGTTAGCAAAGCTTTCTGTTATAACAGACCATCTAGGTGAGAAGGCAGGGATTAAGCTATTGTTGAAGTCCGGTGGTGTAATGGCTTTACTGATCACTCTATACCTCCCATTCAAGATTTAGTGCAGAGCTTTCAGTTGTCTTTGCTGAGGGACAAAGGTCTGTGGATCCCATTTGGCTTTTTCACAGCTATGGAGAGATTACTGAAGTGCAACTCTGCCATTTCAGTTTTGGGGACTAATACACTCTTGCTATTAGAGAACTTTCCAAAAAACTGTTGCATTTCTGTTTATTTTGTTAAAATTCTTTTTTTCTTTGCTCCTGATTCAGTGACATGAAACGTTGTGTTTGACACTGCCTTCTGTGTACTCTCTTGCATGTCTTTGTAACAGAACTAGCAGGCCGTACAGGAGAGTACATTCACTGAGCTAATAGATCTTTTCTGTGCCTCTTACTAGTCTTTTGGGCGATTCAGATGTTCATCCTCTCATTGTTTATATGATTGATGATGACAAGTGAGTTGATCAAAGACTGCAAATTGTAATGCTGAGGCAAAATCATTGCCTAGAAACTGTCATACTTGCAGTTTTCAGATGTCAATCAAAATGACTTAAAAATGAATTAGAATTACAGCACTGTGAACAAAAAATCAGTCTTTTACACACTGAATAATCTTCAATTGAAATAATAACTCAGTATAAACGTGCTTTGCTCTCTGTAGTAGCTCCCTATTGTGACTGCTCCATGGATGAGGTCCAGCAGCATCAGCTATTCAGCTGATTTTGCTCTCAATAGCTTCCCATTTTTTCTTGTTAACATTTATAGATTCCTGATGTCCTGACACATTTCTCAAGCTGTGGAACATGGATCTGTTCCTTTGAGTTCAGCAGAAGTTAGGTATTTTGAGAACAGTGGTACTATTTGGATAAAAGATCACCTGCAGTCAGCTATTACACTGCCTTGCAGCAAAAGATGTGTTATCTTAAAATATTAGTGTCGTTAATGGCCTTGCAAAGAATCAGTCTAAAATAAGTCCCGCTGTACTCATCTAATCAATCTAGTGAAAGTGCACACTTCAGTTAATTCTACCGAATCTGGAACTTGCAATCTAAGCTGCAGACTACCAAGCTGATGTGTTCCTCAGCAAACCCACAGATAATCATTGTCATAGTCCCCTAAAACCATTCACTCGCAGTCTGCAAGACGAGGTGTTTTTTTTCTAGGTAGTCTTTCACTCTTTGAAAATTTTATAAAGCTTGCTAGTGATGGCTCAGATTGCAACACTGCTCGAGAGCAATGCTAGATTTAGATGACTCACACCCACAACAATAAAAAGTTCTAGTGTAATTCAAGACAGCTGACTACAGACTTGAATCATACATTAATACTCAGATGTATTTTTTCATTTTAATGCTTCAAAGTTAAAATTGGGTTGCAAGTACTGCCCTGCATAGAGCAACATTCTGGCAGGGGCCATCACAACTCTGGCATGGACTTTGCATGGCTGATGCCAAGAAGAAATAAGGGAATGTCAGGGCAAGATGAGAAGAAAATAATTCAGTGAAGAAGGAGGCAATATTTTAAGATAATAAATCCTGTTTCTCTGCTAGTTGTTGGTCTCAGTCTATTACAACTTTTCTCAAATGACATCTAAATTGTTTTCTATCTTCTTTTGGTTCTATAATGTTTTTGCAATCTCGTCATATTAGTTTCTGTCTGAATTTTCTCTTTCAGTGATTCAGACTTCTGAAAAATCTTTGTTTTAAAACGGGGATTTTTATGATGGAATTCCTCATTTCTTCAAACCCTTTTAGTTCTGTCACTGTATTCTATTGCGGTGTCCTAGTGTTACATGAGAACTAGTGATCATTAGAAGTGGCCCAGACTATACTATAAACTTTAATACATTCAAGAATATACCATGGGATGGGCTTTCCATGTGTTATCTCAACAATTCTGTTCCAAGTACTTTGGACTTGCTCTTCAGCTTGACTGTGGGCCTGTGCTGTTAAGAGTGCAGGAGGGAGTTCATGGCAGCATGGCTAATAGTGAAGGAGGAGTGACTCTTTGACCCTTCCTAAGGAGATTAATTATTACTGATTTGTTGTGAATACTTGTTTTTAAAAAAATAAGCTAAGATCTTTCACAGAGACAACCTGGAAATTTGCCAGTGGTGACAACTTTTAGTCACCTCACTGCAAAGGCAGTTTCTCCTGTGACTATGGAAAAATCTTGTTTGCTTGTTCTGCAGTATATTGGTGACTTCCATTCAGATAATCTGTAAGCAGTTAGTCCATGTATATGCATATTAGAAGACTCCTTTTTTTCCCCTCAAATTATGGTCAGCCTGTGGAATTCACCAAAAGAGATATTAAATCTTGCTAAAAATGTCACAGATATTCAGGAGTGGATTAGGCATATACCAAAATAAACAAAAAGCCCAAACAAAAAACCCAGAAGAGCTAGAAATTTGGAGACATCTACTCATCAGACAAGTTGTGGAAGCCATTTCCCAAGCAGGTTATTCCAAAATTGTTATTTGGAAGATCTCTGTGTCTTTGGCACAAGCATTTAACTTTGGCCAGTTTTAGGATGAGGATACTGGCCTGTGTGGACCACTGGTCTGATTAGACATGATGATTTCTGATGTCCTTGCCAAATAAGCACATGAACGGCTGCAAACCACATAAATGTGAGGAATGTATTCAAGGTGGGCAGAGCTTTGCCTCAGCATTTTACCCTGAGCTAAGCCAAGTGTTGCTAGGTCAAAGCTATGGAGTTTGTCCCCTGCAATATATCTGTTCCTCAAATGATGTCCTTTTATTTAATGTGTGATGCTCACATTTAATGCTTTGAGAAAGAAAAGAGAAATTATTTCCAAAATAACCTAAACTAAGTTCGACAGTGTTGCTGTGTTTACTATTTTCAGGGAATTATTACAATCAAGGAGAGATTCGTAAGAAAGAACTGGAACAAAGTTGTTTTCTTCTGGGGATTCCTGCTTCTGATGTAAGAGTCATAGATCACAGGTAACCAGTTTTCATTTACAGCATAATTTCATTGCAGTTTGAAATAGCGGGTGAAGCTCACTTTAAAGTTCAGTGAAAACTTACTATATCATTCTAAAAAGTCCTGAGGAATCTCCAAAAAGGCCATATTAGATATTTTTATTAACTCTTAACATGTCTAATTAATGCAGGAGACAATTCAAGTGTATAATGGGGATCATAATCCCTAGGTTATGCTGTGTTGTTACAGCATTTAGAATAATGATAACCATACTTGGGGTCTGTCACACTGCGTTTGGGCAGCATGATCGCATTCTGTTACGCTTGTTGCAGTGTTATACAGACAATTACAAATTCACTGAATTGCCTGTGGCAGGTTTGTCTGTAGGCTGGTCTTTACCAGGGTTAGTGTGGAATTCTATTTATAATCTGGTTTAGTCTTGGCTAAAGACAGAAGTGCGTTGCAGTTCATAATAACGTGACTGTAAGATTCTTTCAAATTAAGCCATACAAGATTTCTGTTTTTCTGAGGTGAGATGTTGTTTTCTTTAGTTGTGTGCAGATACAGAGACAGGTGATAAGGCTCACACTTCTTTGTTTTGGGGTTAATTCAGGAACTCTTCTGGGAAGCTGATTTAATGCTTTGAATCAGTGAAACTCAGAACTAGCATTGTAAAGGCCTCTTAAATTGCCTAATCACTGTCTAAATAGGGTTGATAGGAGCTGAAGTAGCTACCAATTACTAGGAAACATGGTACAAGTGGTTGTTTCAATTGTAAACAACTGTCCTACATCCCATAAAGAATATTTTTGTTTATGAAGAAATAACTTTAATAGCAACATTATTGATTTAAAGCCACGCCAGCTGGAAAAGTCAGAGTTGAAAAAAAATCTGGCTTCAGGCAGGCCCTTTTCCCATGAACATATTTTCCCTTGAGCTAAGGCAACAGAAACCACAGTCCAGAATATGAATCTTCTTGAGTTCTTTGCTTTTTTTAGCTTTAGGTTTCTCTCCAAGTTTTCAGCTCAATTACAAAAACAGCATAGGAGTTGTTTTTCCTTTGGAATGAAAAGAGATGTTTCCGTTCACTTTTCTTGAACTGGTTTTGGATAACTTCAAGTTTTGTAGTACAATTATATGACAATGCCCAAAACATTTTGGGGAGGAATAAAGAAAAAAGCTGCTAAGCTTTGCTAAGCATAAAGTCTGCTCAGTGAAGCAGAAGACTACTGGCCTTTCATCCTCTAACGCAATGTGAAGTTGGTTAGCATGCGATACAGGTTTCCCAATACTGCTCCGTCATCCCGCGGTGTGCACAGTCCAGGACTGCTTTTTGCAAGTAATACTTTGGTTTGCTGTATAGGAAGGTGAGGACCATTTCAGAGAAATACATTGTCTCATGCATCTTTATCACTTTCACTACTATTATTGCACATACTTATGTGAGTAATGACTGGTATATCGTTTCCCCCAGTGAATGCAATGCCTGAGAAGACAGATCCATCCCATTGCCCAGAGCTTCTGTACTGGAATGTACACTGTTGTTCTGAGAAACAGGTTTAGATTTGAGGTCTTTATCTCTGAGGTTCGATTGCTATGAGATAACCATCAAATCGTCTTTGTTGTGCATTTAGGGAGTAAACTGACGTTCTTGCTGAATTTTGCTCAGAGCTTGTTTACACAGTGAAGTGTGTTTATGGTGCACTATTTAGTCTGCAGTAACTCACCATGTGTATGCTCTTTATGCAAAACCTCTATGGATCAGGTGTTAGCAAAGTGCTAGAGGATCAGGAATAAATTCTAGATGACACTGCATTTTTAGAGTAGCTAATTTTTAGTGTTTCCCAGCAGTTTAGACAAAGCACTGGTACTCAGGGTTCTTGAAACCTACTCAGAGTTCCTGGATTCCTTAAGGTCAGTAGCTTACCTATGCCTCTGTTATGACTCCTGTAATTTACAGATTATACAAAAATATTTGTCAGTATGGCATGATGTGGAAGTTGATAAATTAATGTTATCTATTGCTAGATTTCAATGTAAAATCGTATCTACAGAATACTCTTCAGGAGGCTATTTCTCTTTAGCATTTTGTCTTCTGTAGGTAGTGTTTAAGAGCAGAGCCCTTTGGATTTTTTTGTTCCTTTCCTAACTCCTCAGAAGATAATTTTCTATCAATGTAAAGAACTAGCACATTGCTGAAGGACTGCAGCTGGCATGCAGCCCGCCTAACATTTCTTATACAAACACTGGATGCTTTACATTATCCAAGCTACATACTTGTATTTTGGTAAGGAAAGCCCAAAGGATTGCTAGGTCTGGATCTGCTCCAACCATTGTAGTGTGGAGCTGAGTCATGCTGCTTCCTCTTTCTTTGCATGATCTACAAGTGAGTGAGTACAATTTTCAAGATGTATAAGGGGAAATATATCTGAAAAGCAAGGTGATTGACTTGCTCTGTAATCTCACTTGGCCAGGCAGGTATAAAATCAACATGACATTTTGAATTGCACGTGAACTTGTAAAGAGAAAGCTTCAGTCAGTCAGCCTATGATGAAATCTGTGTTAAAGACCAATCCTTATTAAGCAGACCCTTGCCTTTAACAATGACTCTCAAGTATAGCCAGGATGCCTAGGACAGCAGTAGTTCAGTCTCTATCAGACAACTGCTTTGCACTGACTCCGGCAGGTGTTTGATGTTGTCAGTGTATTTGTTACCTCCGTTAAAGACAACTCAAATCTTCTGTCACAAATATGGTCCCAAACTGTACCCACATTTCAGCCCTAGAGATTTGAGATCCACAAGAATTTCCTGCAGAAAAGTTTTTTGCTGTAGAGGGCATGTCCAGGCATGGACCATGCAGCACCCAGGTACTGTGGGTGATCAGATGGGCGTGCAGGCAGCCCGTTCCAGACTATTTTAGATTGGAGCACTGGACTCCTCCTACTTGTAAATAGTACAGGCCAGGCACCAGATTTGCAGAGGTGTCCCCTGAGCTGACATGTAATCATCATAGCTCCAACTGAACAGCTGCTTTTAAGGGAGAAGAGTTTTACAGTCCACTTTGGTTACTATTCCCACACTAGGCTTAATACTTGGAGCAGCCCAGCTTAGAACTAGGACTTGTATTGCTCAAAATTAATTTCTGTACTGTTGCTGGGTGAGGGAGGAGTAGCAAGAGAGTGAGGTCTGAATCTTATGTAAGATAAAAGAAGTCACTTCATTGATTGTATAAATGGTAATGTAAAGTCTGTGCTTTTGGTACATTTTTATTATCTTATGTGCTGCAACAACGGACTTTCTTGGAGCTGTAAAAATGAGAGATTATCAGTTTTACTGTGCCACGATACCAGCTTAATTTTCACAAGACTGGTATAGTTCTACAGATCTGCAGTGAAGGTAAAATGAGTGTAGCTAAACTATGAGTGGTATAGATACCTCTAATGCAAACGCAGTCTAACTCAACTGAAAAATCTGCTACAATGATACGTCTAAACTAGTAGATAAATCAGATACTGGACATTTTTTGTGGTGGCAGAAGGGTCTAATTTATAAAGCATTTGGCTGCACTGCAAACAAAAACAGACATCCATTTTCACCAAAAGCACTGTTGTTCTTCAGGCATCGGTTAGACTCTGCTGCCAGATTTAGCTTAAATTGCTCTGGTAATATATGGGCAAATGATCCACTTGAAGGACATGAGTAGTTGCTGAGCAGGGCAGAACTCCATCTCGAGAAGAACAAATCTGAGTAACTGATTTGCGCTTGAGATGTGTGACAAAGACAAGGTTCAGTTTAGCAAGAGGAGAGCTTGTAAACAAGTAAAAAGTGAGTCCTGCATTACCGTAAAACACTGAGATGTTTTCCCTTCTCTTTAGACTGTGCAGAAAAGAATGCTTCATTTACAATGTGAAGACAAAAAATGTTCACGTAAGAACTGCTCCAGGTGCCGTTTTTGATGTGTCACTGCTCAATGTTTTCTTGGTTGTTGCTTTGTCTGGTCTTGAGAACACAGTGAGATGAAGGGGCCCTGGTCTCCAAACCCAGTTATCAGGTCACAAGTCATTGCCATGGGTTTGGATTTGTAAATGTACTTTGTTGGGAATTACAGCTGAAAAAGCTATCTGAAGTAATTAATCAGAAGACACGCTCCTGAACTAGAAAGCTCTCTTTCATGGTATACGAAAAAACAGGAGTTAGTATCTAATTGATGCAATATTAAGTTAGTTAAATTCCCATTAACATTGGGCACATCTGCCAATGCTCTGGCTACTAGTCTGTAACGTTACGCGTAAACAGGAGATGTTTTCTAAGTTGTTTTCAGTTCCTGAAGAGAGGAAGCGAAAAGGAATTCCAAATTATTTTTTTTCTAGTATCTGTTTTGGGTTCATGGAAAGATAAATATCAGGCATTTTACTGCAGCTTCTGAAGGTTTTGTGCACGGTTGTACTGGACAGAACGTAAAACCGACTATTTGCATCTTAAATATGACAAAATATTTGGCCCAAGTTTGCACTGCAAAGAAAATAATAGTCGAGATTTGTGTAAACTAGAAAATTTTCCATTCACAGTACAAAGGCTTACTGCTAATAATGTTACATCTGTTTCCAAGTTTCCATGGAAATTGCACTCCACTTGCTTTTTTATTATTATTTCACTTAAGTCCAGAAGGGCTCTGATTAGACAATGCACAGGAGGGAGGACATCTTCCCGTGCAGAATCACAGGTTATCTAAAAGGGGTTTTTTATGAGGCTGCAGAGAGGCTCAAATTCTTTTTTTTTTTTTAATTTTTTGCTGTTGGGCGCTTTTTTTTTTTTCCCCCTACAAGGTAAATAGGCTTTATTGTACTTCCTCATGTTTAACTTCTAACGAACTTCCTTCCACAAGTTCCCCATGTCAGAGAAGTGAGTCTGTAAGGTCATGGGAAAAATAGATCCTTAAATAAATAGTGTGTGCGTCTGATTGTGATGATCAGAAAGATATAAAAACACTCAGACCCTTCAGAGAACGAAATATGTAAC